CGCGAGATCGTCCGGCTTTGTAACTTCTCCAGCCTCTTTCTTATTTCATGGTATGACACTAACAGAATAGGGAGTTTCAACCAGTAAGCACATCCCCGGAGGTAAGAAGAGAAGGGTTTTGGCACAGTTTATATACAGTTCAGATAATATCAAAGCAGTAAAAGCATCATTTAGCACATTAGGCCCAAACATGTAAAAAAAATAAGATAAAACAAGACAATTATAACAATTATTTAAAGCTCTAATTCTGATCCCTAAACCAGAGATTCTGGGTTCGTTCCCCAGCAGAGTCGCCAGAGCTGTCACACCTCCTTTTTACCTGCGCCCCCGTAAAGGGCGTAGAGGGAGTTTTTCCAATTAAAGAACAATCGAAACGGGGTTTATTATTTAATTCAGAGTCGCCACTTGGGAGATTTATGGTGTCCCAAGTCACCGGTTGAATCCCAAATCGAGGAGAATATTGACTCTGTATTACAGTCCGCGAACCAGAAATTCGGATAAGGAATTCTGTTAACCCGGGAGAAGGTGTTAGGCATTCCCGAGTTCCGTGGTTCTGGCACGGTTGCTCAACTGTCATATCTGGCTTAATTATCTGATTTTATACAATTATGAACTTATGTGCAAATTTTAACTTTTAGCCGCTTTTATTATTATTATTTTTAAAAAAGACTTGCAACGTCGTGAAAACGGGTCTTGAACCACGCCACATCAATGCACCCGTGGTTATTGACACATTTCGAATTCGTTGAGATTTGGATTTGGGTCACATAATGTGTACCCGAGTTTAGGGAGATAACATTATTAAATATACGCCTAAAGATGCTAACGCGTTATTATTTTTGAGAAAAAACCGTGAAATTCGCTATACGGCCTATCTCGAAATCTAAAAGTTTAAGATAACCATCCATTAAGGGCCCCACAATTTGTGCATTTTATTTGGCGAGGCTCATCTCATTTATTTTAGAAGGACAACCCTAAAGTGACTACATTTTTCTATTAAGTTCGTCTCTAAAATAAAAGAAAATCTCCAAATTAATTACATGCTTAAAAAAGGACGTAACTTATTAGTTATTAGTTTAAGACAAATGCAAATGGAAAATTGCAATCGAGCTTGTACAAAGGGAGATTGTTTCGTATCTCATTCTATAAGTGAATATTACAAAAAATTAAAATTATAAATAGAATACAGAATTGACCAACAATAATATCAAAACGAAACTAATTACTCTCTACCAATTTTAGACCCACCTTACTAGATGAATTGAACCTCCAGAATTAATTGTTTACAACTATTTGAAATTAAAACCAACCTTAATTACTAATGCTTGCGAAAGTTTGTTAAAACTTGATCGACACTTGGAGAAATCTATTGCATTTAAAGGAACTCTAACACGCCTTGTTCGAACTCAACTCATGCCTATTGAATTAATGACCTTAGCTTTACTACATCGAATCAAACTTCAAATATGGTAGACCTACTGACTCTACGAAATTACTGGCTAATTATGTTTGCATAATACTTGCGGATCTTTGTTACTAACAGGACTCAAAATCACAAACTTCAATTTATTTCTATTCCCGTTTTCGTGAGTTCAAAGTTATACTTTACCAATCAACTAAATCGAAACGATTCTCAATATTAACTATTTACCAATTCAAATGGCTACAGGTATGAGGAAAACTGTTCAAAACTGCCTAAGATAGTCCTAAGTGTAGTCCAAGCTGGTTCAATATCTAGTGACTTATTTTGATTTATGTAAACTAAACAGTGAGTGCTAATTTGCAAATTATTATATGCTGTGGTCAATATCTAATACATAACCCAACTCAAGTTGAATGTGATTTTGAACTACCTTATTCTAATAATATGAACTAACAAAACTGAAATTATTTAACTATGAAATTCATAAAGACACACACCTAATAGTTTAGCAATCTAACAGTTTGTTCCAATTAAACACACATACTGAACTGAACTGCCATTTGAAGGATTCAATTCAGTAGTCCGACATCATACATCACCTAATTGCCAATCAGTGATTTAAAACCAGACCTAATTATACATATATCTACCATTCATATAACAAGAAACACATAACTAATATCAAATAGAATACAAGCATTCTATAGTTTGAACAATAAATCCTCTGGCCATTTCATTTCAGTTTCAATGAGCATACACCAAGATGATTCAAAGTAGTGTACCTGGAATCGAGAATAGCAGAAGAAGAAGAAGAAGAAGAAAGGCAGGTCAGCAGCAGCAGCAGTATACAATACAACAACACCACAACAAAGAGCAGAGCAACAACCAGCAGAAATAACACCCAGCACAAGCAGTCCAAAACCCAGGAGTAAAACCAGAAAATACCAAGCAATTCATAGACAGGAACAGAATGTATTCAGAAATGAGACAGGAGAGTAGATTTTCTGATTTCTGTTCTTCAGATTCTCAAATAAAGACACTCAGAACCTCAATTAAACAGTAACAAACTGATTCTGATTTTCAGTAGTAAAGAAGACCTCACTTTTTCAGTATTTAGCTCTCAACCTATTGAACTCTTTAGGGTAAAAACTCAGCTTGTATTTCACTCCTAAACTCTGAATTTCTGATGTCAAAATCCCCCCAACCTTACTCTATAACTCTGACCTTTTTTCAGATTCAAAAGCCTCCCTTTTTAACTCTGTCCAAACCCTCTTTATACCAAACCCTCAACCACTTTCCAGCTCTAAGGAGCACTTAGCTAATTAAGAAAGTATTTCTGCCAACTACTACATGTTTTGTTCTTTTTTTAATTGACTTGTTCCCCATTATCCTTGTCTTTCCTTTATTTTATTCAATGGTTATGGGTAGTGCATACTTTAATTAAATTCCCATTAGGTCTCCCCATGCTATTATGTTTTGTTCCCCACTATTACTAAACAATTCATTAGTTTAATGGTACTTTAGTACCCTACTGTCAGACCACTCTTATTAACCATTTCAAACTTCTCAAATCCCAAAATACCCTTGTAAAGTCCCTGAAATTACTGTCCTAACCAATCCCTTTCACTCTGTACCAAACCCTTCAGCTATAACCAGTTCAAACTATCAAATTCCTAGCAACTGACTCCTAACTCAACTGGACAGATTACAAAACTTCAGATTGGAAAGACCAGTAGACCTCCTGATGACCAACTAGGCAGGTAATTGACAGCATGAATTGCAAACAAAGGGAATCACACACTATAGAATAAGTTTTAATTCACAACAATTTGGCTAAACCCAAATACTATCAACATGAGACTGCAATTAGAGATGAGGCAAAGCAAGTGTCATGAAACGAAACCTGATTAATAGCATAAGTCTAGGTTCAGACAATCATGAACCATTTCCTAAGCATTAGGTCTATTGTACAGGCCAACATCACTGATTAAGGGATCACAACGACAAAGTAATTGGTAACCTAAACTTAACCAAACTAAACATACACAAATTAGACTAGTTCTTGACAAATTCAACTCGCAAACTGGCCCAAATTTGGACCTTAGACTACTGACCATAATTCAAATGGGAAATTCATGCCAATTTATAGAAGAGGAAGGGACAGAGTAAACAAACGGAACTGCAAGAGTGAACAACCAAAACTGGACGTAAAAGACTTACCCGAATCACAACTTGATAAAAAAAACTCGAGGATCTTCCCACTTTCAAGCCAAGACGGACTTTAACCATGTGTTTTCGAAGAAAAACAGCATGGCTAAAGTCATTCTCTGGCTCAAAATTCATGGAACCTGGCCTGCCTAACTTCGATCTGGAATCCGAGCTGCCCCACGATAATCTGAAAAGAATCGATAAAGGATTCATGGTGAGGGGGTCCAGGAGATCACAGGGTGTGAGTTAGGGATGGCTTGGGAGGTGGCGCCGCCACCAGAGAATCTTGTGGCGGCGCTAGGGTTTGGACCTTCGAATGAATATTCGAAACGCTCGGGCTTGATTCGAAGGGAAATGAGTATGGGACTGGAATGAGGAAGTCTTAGGGAAGCTGTGGTGTGAAATTGGAGGCCATTGGACGAGATAGGGTTTCGTCCTGATTTTCAATCTAATATTCGAAGCACACGGCTGGGATTCGAGGGATAAGAGTTAGGGATTCAGAATGGGGAGGTCGAGGGGAATCAATGGTGAAAAGATGGGGTCGTTTGGACCACCGGAACCNTCGATCCAGTCCATTAGATTAATTAAAATTAACAGACTGGATTAAACACTAATAGAAACGACACCGTTTCTTTTAGGCGGGGGTTGGGTCGGTTTGAATGTAAAACGGGTCGGGCTAGACCGAGTGAGGATGGAGTGATCTGGACCATTGGATCAAGTCGTATCAACGGCTTGGATCTATTATCCAGATACGACATCGTTTGGATATATCTGGGACTGGCCGGTTTGGGCCTGGATTGGGCGTGTGAGGTGTAGTTTGGGCCTGATTGGTTCAAATTAAGGGATGGCCCAGTCCGATTTCATTACTATTTTTGTTCTTACTTTCTTTTACTTCTTTAAACTAATTTTTCAAAATTAAAAACCTAAAAATCCTAAATTAAATTATAAAATCGACAATTAACTTAAAATATTAGCTCTTAATAATAATTATCACACGGAATTAAACACCAATAAAGATAAAATCACACAATTTGGACATTAAATGCTAAAAATGCAAAGTACATATTTTTTGTGATTTTTCCATTTTGTAAAACAAACTTGATTGTTTAATTAATTCCTAAATTGTAAAATTAGAACCTAAATGCACATGCAACACATATTTTTTGTATTTTTCTTAATTAAATTAGAAATAAACATGCACAGACAAAAATACAAATAAATCACAAACAACACAAAACCATTTTATTTTGAATTTTTGGGAGTAGTTCTCATAGGGCAAAAATCACGTGCTCACAATCACTTCCCCATTCAAGTTGTGCTAAAAAGGGATTCACTCAATAAATCCACCAGACATTTTAGGTTTGAATCCATGTGGACTAGCCACCCATCCTTTCCCAGTGGAACAGGCACACTTTTGGTAATATATTCCATAAAAAGAAGAATCTTAGCCAGAATTGCAGGAATCCAAAAATCTCCTAATTATCAGTTCAACAGCTACTTGTTAAACCTAGAAAGCAACCTGACCAATGAGCTAGATTCCATCCTCAAGAATGAAGAGGATTTTTGGAAACTTAAATCTTGGATTAACTGGCTAAATGAAAGGGATGCCAACAATAGATTCTTCCACACATCCACTCTCAACAGGAGAAGAAGAAACAGGATCCTCTCCCTCAAAGAAGAGAGTGGAAATTGGCTCTATGATCAAGGGGACATCAAAACATCCATTTTGTCCTTCTTCAAGAATCTCTATACCTCCTCACAGTCACAAGCTCCCATATCCACCACCAACTATATGGCTATGACCCATACCCTATCCGACTCTCAAAGGAATAAGCTAGATAGGCCTCTTGAGATCAAAGAAATAAAAATGGCCATCTTCTCCTTCAAGCCCTTCAAGGCCCCTGGGCCTGATGGCCTCCATCCCTTCTTCTATTAGAAGTACTGGAGCATTGTAAGAAATTCAGTAATTGATTTCTGCAAGCAATGCTTCATTACTAACTCCATAGATGAGACCATGAATCAGACTTTGCTCTGTCTTATTCCCAAGTTCCCCAAGCTTCCATGCTCAAAAACTTCAGACCAATTGGACTTTGTAACACAATCTACAAGTCCATCACTAATATTATTGTAAACAGAATCAAGCCAATGCTTCATGACATAATTGGACCTTGCTAGGCCAGGTTTCTTTCAAATAGGAGAGCTTATGACAATGCTATCATTATGCAAGAGTATATTACTCACTTTAAGAGAATGAAGGGGAAACAGGCTCACATTATCCTTAAAATATATCTAGAAAAAGCTTTTGACATGCTAGAATGGTCCTTCATTAGGGACACACTCCATGTTTCAACTTCTCCCTAGTCTGGCTAAGCTAATTATGTCTTGCATTAGGTAAAACTGAACCCTTCAAGCCCTCCAAAGGCATTAGACAAGGGGATCCCATATCCCCTTACCTGCTCATCCTGTGTATGGAAAAACTCTTCATGTCAATTGACCAAGCTGTGCTGGACAACCAATGATAACCTATCAGTATCAACAGGTATGGCCCAAGAATCTCCCACCTCTTCTTTGCTGATGACCTTACCATATTTGCCAAGGCAAACAATAGGGACTGCACCACCATATATTCTATCCTGCAGTTCTTCAATGAGAACTCTGGCAAAAAAATTAACCTCAATAAGTCCATAGTTCTCTTCTCCTCTGAAACTAGTCAGGATATCATGGAATGTCTCACTTGCACTATCAATCCAAGCTACTATTTCCTTTGGAAAATACCTTGGATTCCTTATGTTCTATAAGAGACCCACTAGTTCTGACTTTTAGTTCATAATAGACAATATACAATCCAAGCTGGCTGGCTGGAAAATAAATTATCTCAACATGACTGGTAGGACCATTCTGGCTAAGACATCCCTCAATAGTATCTCTAACCATGTCATGCAATATATCAATTTTCCTATAAAAATCACCAAGCAAATTGATAGAATCCAGAGGAATTTTATCTGAGGTACTACCCCAAATAAGAAAAAAATGCATCTGGTTAGTTGGGATAAGGTCACTAAGAAGAATACCAATGGTAGGCTAGGCCTCCAAAAATAAGAGCTTAAAAACAAAGCAACCCATGCAAGTCTGGCTTGGAGGATCTATCAAAACACTTCAAGCTTATGGGCTAGCGTTCTGATCTCTAAGCACTGTAATTGGAACCACACCCCTAGGAAACCTAAATCTCCTACCTGTCAATGCATCCTTAAGGGATGTGATACATGTATGATGGCTAGCAGATGGGTGGTCCACAAGGAAAACAGGGTGAGCTTCATGAATGATGCTTGGATACCTAACCAGCCAGGCATAAAAGATATGATTGCAGGACCCCTAACCCTAAATGACATATCTATCAAAGTATATTCTATCTACAATTCAGGGACTTGGGACCTCTCTTCTAACTCTATGGAAGTGCCTGCGAGTATTTCTAACATGATCAATTCTATTTTCATCCCTCACAACACTACCAAGGAGGACAGGCTAATTTGGGGATTGACTCCAATTGGGTCTTTCACCAACAATTCAGCCTATACATTCCTTAGCAAAAGCAATGAGCACTTTGGAAATGGGGAGGAAAGGACCTTCATTTGAACTTGAAAATTAAAAGCTCCTAACAAAGTTAAGAATTTCATCTGACTTCTTGCCAAAAATAGGTTACCTACAGAAGCCTACCTGCACAGAATTGGGGTTACCTGTAACCCACAATACTGCTTCTGCCAAAGCAATCAAGACAAGTTGCCACATTTTCTTTGAATGCATAAATGCAGCTCAATTTTGGCAGGAGTTGCTATCCAAGGCTTTGAATGAAAGTAGGCAGCTGAATCCCATCTTCTCAGCCCAACCATGGCCATCAACATGGAATAAACTTAGGAACATACTCTTTAACGAGAACATTCCTTGGGAGAACATCATTCCCTTATGTTCTAGCACATTTGGCTAACTAGGAACCACAACCTCTTCAACAACAAAAAGATAGCATCAACACTACCAACACCATCTCTAAAGCAACTGAATACTTTATGTTGGTGAAAAATGACACCATCAAGAAGCCTTTCCAAATCAATGTGAAATGGGAGCCCCCCGAAGAGGGTACTACAAACTGAATATAGATGGTGCTGCTAGGGGTAATCCAGGCATATGAGGAATATGTGGAGTATTCAGGAACCATAATAGGGATTGTATTATGGGGTATATAGAGAATATACCACATACCATCAATACCATGACTGAGCTGAAATCTCTCCTGAAAGGGCTGCAACTAGCTGAGCAAATGAATGGATCCCTCTGGACATCAATACAGACTCGGCAAAAATAATCCAAATGCTTCTTACAGGTAACTTAACATATGATTCCATGATTTATGAATGCAGGTTGTTAATGCAAATGAGGACAAGGTCACAGTGAGACACACGTACAGGAAGCAGAATAGGGTGGCAGATGCACTGACAAAAGAGGAAGCAAAGCCAAGTTTTTTGGGAAAAACCAGCTTACTAGCAGTTCCTCCGATGTTTGCAAATGATATATTCCTAGGAAGTAGGAACTAAAATTGTTAGAAAAATTTTGGCATGTAATATTGATGCAGTAAAACAAACATCGCAGTATTTGGGGAATTACAGTACCCAGGCACTGACAGTACTATGCATTGTATTTCCTAGTTTTTCCTTGTGTTATATATATATATATATATATATATATATGAACCAAAAATAGTCTTGCTATTACTAATGCCATGATTTGCTCTATATTAGTTATACATAAATTAAAAAAATGTATCAAACAAATTAATGGATTAATAATACCAAAGCTAATACATACATTATTTCTCTAATAAATCCTATATAACGACCCCTAAAAGTTTTAAATAAGGGAAGAAGAAAAAGTGCTCTGAGGGGAAACAACGCGTAGGTACATTAAAACTTTAGGAAAATTTTGCAAAATTTAATCAGGGAGAAGTTGCCATCAATTTTTCTTCTGAGTTTACTCGTCATCTCATACTTTTCTTCGAGGAGTTAACAATTAGGCGCTTTAATGCCAACAACTGCTTAAATTGGTACGTCTCGTCTCAATTATTGTGTCTGTTGGCTGCGAAGTTAATTGGAATTAATATCTAAGTTTTAATCAATGGTAAACTTAACATTTTTATATATTACATTCCCGTTCGGCTGTTCTTTTATTCTTTCTACTTTCAGTGGCACATTTCATTAATACATGCCACATGCACATCACATCATCTCTTAAATAAATCATTTCTGCTTAAATCATTCTAAATAGTCTTACAATGAAAATAATAATCATGCACGCATTTAAATGGAGCTACTATAAAGTTCTTTAATGCGCCTTACGCTCCACAACTCTAGATTAATTTGTCTGTAATGCGAGTATTAAATATCGGGTGTAAAATAAAAAAAATAAAAAAAATAGGAGCTACTCTAGAGTTGCACACAAGATAATTCGCTCTATCAAGTACTATGACTATCCAACTCAGGGGCTGATCTAGTGTGATGTTATCGGGTTCAACTGAATCCTGTATTTTCGACGTGAATCATAAATTTATGTAAAGGATCTGCTAAAATTATAGTAGCAAATAGTAGATATAAACTTATAACTTTAATAATATAATTGGTTCAATATCAAGAGCCTTAAAAATTATCCTATAAAATTAAAATTTTAAATCTACCTCTTATGCCGACTCGTATCAAGTAGATGTAGCTGTTAAGTGTTAAAGCAATAATGTGAGAGGGGTAAGTGTCACATAAATTGGTGAATTATGATTATGACATAACTCTTAACGTTATTTAGGGTACTACAGTTGCCTAGCCTTCTTTTCATAGTTTCATGCTTATTGTAGGTACTTATAGTTGACTTTGAAGTACTTTAATTTGATTGTGTTTTATATTTATATCCTTATAAAAAAAATTAAACTATGGGTTGCCCATAACTCTGTACTTAATGTGGTCGCATCTGAATCTGATAATAAAACAATAGGATTGAATACCCTAATTATTTTGCAATTTATATGTCTTAAGATTAGGTTATGTACATTGATCATGTAAATTACTTTTATATATAATGTATCTAACAAGTAATAACATGTGCCTTTTCCTCTTTTCCAGGTTAGTTTTTAAATAATTTGAAAGTTCAAAATGTTATTACGTTGTGAACATACAAACATTGAACTCTTTATCTCATCTTTGATGCACTACAAAAAGAAAAAAAAATGAATTTTTCCTTATATATCCCATCTTCATATTCACTCCATACACATAATTAGGGGTGTACATAGGTCGGGTTGATTCGGATTTTACGATTACCAAACCAAACCAATTGTGTCGGGTTATTAAATCTAAAGACCAAACCAAACCGATAAAACTTGGGTTTTTCAATCTCGGTTTTTCTCGAGTTTTTTCGGGTTTTCGGGTATTTCGGATTTTCGGGTTTTTTTCCCGGTAAAATCTTCGTAGAACAAAATATATAACTTGTGCTTAAAATATTTCTTTAATCCTAGTACGATACAACTATATAAAGTATTTTTCAAGTAAATAATACAAAATATGAGATGTGTCATGGCATTATCCTAAAATATTCAACAATAAAGACAATAAAATTATGTGACATAAATATTGCTAATTAAAAACCATAACAAAAATAAACATAATCTAAAAGTACTAAGCCATGCTTAAGTAAGTAGACTAATAAGGGAGTATTAATTACATGAGTAAGCGCTAAAGAAAAGATAAAAATAGGTTATGCATTTTGATCTAGATTATTGCAAAATAGAAAATAGATATTCAATATATTCCCGTTCGTAGTATTGACTATTGAATTGAATGTCTTTTGTTTGCATTAGTATTGATTTGATTTTGGTTTGGGCTTTTGTTAGCGTTATTTAATTTA